ATTGGACTAAGTGGTATGATTTGGCTGGAACTGCAACGCGTAAGGACCTTGAAACATATTTGCAGCTGAATAAAGAGGCGGCAAACTTGAATAATTTCACATCCGGAGCAGAAATGTGGTTGAATGATTATGAAGACGATACACTTGAAGTGCAATTGGAAAATATTTTCGAAGAAATTCGTCCGTTCTATCTTCAATTACATGCCTACGTTCGCCATTCTTTGAAACAAACATACGGCGAAGAGATTAGCGAAGATGGACCAATCCCCATGCATTTGCTGGGCAACATGTGGCAAGTATTTTTGTTCTTTGTCAATGTTGAAGGAAATGGATTTGGTTTTTCTTTATAATAGGGCTCAATCTTGGGTAAACATTTATGACCAGACTACACCATACCCTAATAAACAGTCGAAGGGTTTGACTAAGGAGATGCTTGCACAAAACTATACGGCATTGAAAATGTTCAAATTGGCCGAAGAGTTTTACGTGTCATTGAATATGAGTGCATTACCACAGTATGTCCTTCAGAAACGCCATTAAATTCGATATTCATACATTTATTCAATTGTTTAGGGCATTCTGGGAGCTCAGCTATATTGAGAAGCCAACCGATGGAAGAGAATTTATTTGTCATGGTTTCGCAAATGATTTTTTCAAAAACTCTGATGTGGCTATAAAGATGTGTACTCGAATTAGTGCAGAAAGCTTTTTTACCGTTTTCCATGAAATGGGACACATTTATTACTATTTACTATATAAAAATCAACCAATAGCTTATCGTGACGGTGCCAATCATGGTTACTATTATTTATTTATTATCAATTTTCAGCAAAAATGATTAAAATGTTCCATCAAATGTATAGGTTTTCATGAGGCTGTTGGAGACGTTTTTGCCTTGTCTGCATCGACGTCAAAACATATGCATAAAATTGGTTTGCTGAAAAATTATGAGCCAGATGAAGAGACAAGAGTTAACGAACTTTATCGAACTGCATTAAGAAAGGTAGCTTTCCTTCCTTTCAGTTATTCACTTGATCAATATCGATGGGCGCTATTTCGCGGAGAGGTGAAATCCGACGAATATAATTGTAAGTTTTGGCAGATGCGAGAATCAGCATCCGGCATTAAACCGCCAGTTCAACGCTACAAAGAAGACTTCGATGCACCAGCAAAATACCATGTTTCAGCTGACGTAGAATATCTACGGTAAATAGATCGAATTTAATTATTACAATTCTGACTTCAACATACATAATAGACCGTTCGTGGTTTTCTTCATTAGATATTTGGTGGCACACATTCTGCAATTTCAGTTTCACAAAAGCGCTTGCATTTTGGCAGGAGAATACGATCCAAATAATCCCAATAGCTACTTGTCTGAGTGTGACATATATCAAAGCACAAAAGCAGGAAATGCCTTCAAGTAAGTTCACCATAATATCTTGCATAATTTATGTTTTCAATTTTTTTTCAATACAATGTATTTAATTGTGTAATCTAGGGAAATGTTATCGATGGGATTATCGAAACCTTGGCCAGATGCGCTTGAAATTCTTACAGGGCAAAGAACAATGAGTGCGTCTGCCTTGATGGAATATTTCAAACCGCTCCAAGATTGGCTTGAGAAAAAGAATAAAGAAACGGGAGCTCAAGTTGGATGGAAGTCAGAATTCAGTGAGTTCTATGACTAATAAATCAATTAATATGCATATTTCTACTAATTTTCTCCTTTTTCACAGAGTGTTTATCAAAATCTGGTGCGGAGAAACCCATTGGAGCAGGGATAATAATCGTTCTATTTGTAACGATCTGTGTTGGCATGGTCTAAGATTCGTCATTGCAAAATGTTTATTGCAACAGTAACAACACTAAAAATAAGAACTATTTCAACGATTTTTGATCCGAATAATTTCAATTTAATGTAAATTATCAAGAGAACATGCAATGTAATCCAAATATTTGAAATTAATAAACTTTTCATTTTTTTTATTGTTGAATTTTTGAACTTTAAAGTGTCATATGAAATATGAGAATTACCCCTGCGATACCTAAAAATTACACCAAATAGTACTTAAATCAGCCGGCTTAAGTTTCCATTATGGAAATTCCATAGAAGGTCAAGGTTAGACAATTTATTTTGACGCGGGAAGTTGTTTAGAAGTAAAAGTAGAGTAAGTATTTTTTATGATCAATATTGGTATGCATATTTATACAAATTTTCTACATTTTTACATAATTATTACACTTGTGTTGTTATACAGTATTTATAACAGTTATACCTACCTAATATTCGGAAAATATACGATGTAGAAAAATTAGATTTTGAATCAAAGTATTGTACGTTTGATATAAATGTCGGAATTCTTTGCAATAACTCTCGCTCACAGATTGTTTTTTATTTATTTATTTGACTTATAAAATGATTATATTTTATGCGTTGACTATGTTATCATAAAAATTGTTGGCCCTAAACTGTTGATTGAATGTTATCGGATAATATCGTGCTGAATCATGCGCAGCACATCATGTGCTATTTGAATAGAGAAGATTTTTGTTGATCTTTTGTTAGATGTAATAAAACGATCAGATTTATACGCATTTCTTGTATCACATCATACAATGACTATAAGAATTTCTGATCTGTCTATAGTGACATTAGTTGTTTGTTGGAAGTTCCTCGAACAGGTTTGTTTACTTTCATATTTTGATTCTGAAAATTTTGTTTTAATTTTTATTATAAATTGAATAAAATCGGTACACGTGTATATTTTGCTCGAAAATAAATTTTTGATCTTGAGTTTTTTCAGAAGTTTTGCATAAGTTTTGCATTCTTCATTCATGTGATAGGTCAATATTACTTCAGTTTTATTCATATTCATTTTAATTACGATTAGAGCATTTTCAAAAGATAAGTGACGGTAATATTTCAATTGAGTTTAAGTCTAGGGGGAGACACGGACTTTAGTATTGCTAATTTTTCCTAGTTTTTTTAGTAAATCGCATATAACATGTACATTTGTAGGACCTAATGAGTCCTAATTTTTCTTAGTTTTTCAACACTCGGCACTACATTTTGTCGCAGCGTGAGTCTCGTTATATATTTTCATTACCTTTTATGTATGCTATTCGAACTACTATAGAAGAAAATAATATTTTTCAGTAAACTGATTCTTTTATTCTTTAAAGTCTCTCGATGAAAATCTCAATAAAACTTCTGTACACAATTTTTGTAAAACTGGGGCGGAATTCTGCGAATATTTCATTTTTGTCAAACTCAAAATAAAATAATATTCAAACTAATCAATTATTCGGTTAATATAGTATTTTTGGCGATATGAATTACGTGATAGTGCTCGCCTTTTTATCACTAAATGTGGTAGGTTGATTTTATGACTTATGATGTATTTTGATAAAAATGTGTTACATTTTAGATATGTTTAGTTCAATGCTCTCATCAAAATGTTGACATCAAAGAGATTCAAGCAAAAGCATTTTTAGAGAAACTAAACAATGAAATCAGAGAACGATACAGTATGCTATCTATAGCAGACTGGAATTACAGAACAAACGTAACAGCAGAGAATGGAGAACAAAAAAATGCAATAGCCGCTGAAAATGCCAAATATTATAAAGTTCGTAATTGTTTCATTCATTTCATGATCAAAAGTGACCATCCATGTGATTTTAAAAGCAATTAATTTGATACAGGAGAAGTCGAAAGAAATCTTGGAATTCGATTTCAATGCGTTTAAAAACGATGACCTAAAAAGACAATTTAAGTTGCTGTCAAGGCTTGGATATGCAGCACTTCCTGCTGATAAATTCAATTTATTAAATAGTGCCGTTACTTCCATGAAATCCAA